ACGATTGACGACCTAAAGCACGAGACCGAATGGGCTAGTGTTAAGCCAGCCGAGGCAGCCATATGATCGAACTGGAATCATAAACCGCAATGTTGAGGCTATAAAAAAAAATGTTTAAATATATACTAGTTGCGATTTTAAAACCCAAATCTTTTGTGGTCGTTTCTTTCTTCACTTTATAAGTGAAATAAAGTTGGTATTAAGCATGCAGATTCTTGAGATACGCAGCGTATGTTTCAGTGTCTTGCTCCGGCCACACTATGGCCTACAAAACATAAAACATGTTTTTTATATGCACTTCCAAGATCAGAACAAACTGAGTTCCAAGTAATCTTTTCTTTCGGTTAATAATTTAAGACATATATGCCACTCTGCAATCAATTTTTAGAAAAAACGATAGGCTTTCTAAAATATTAAAAGCGGAACTAGTTCACCATCGGCCGCGAGAACAACACGTGATTTTTTATTGTTCGTGCTTAGTCTTTTTCCGATAACTGAAAATGGGAGTTTTTTCTTTAAAATTTTCTTTGTCAACTGGGGAATGATTATTATGCTTATAGGTGCTATATTGAAAACTTTAGGAGAACTTACGATTTATACTGTTATAATCATCCTCAAATATTTGAGCTTTGTCAGATTGGAGTGACCAAACCTTTAAAAGGTTTTACATTTCAGTGGTCTAGGTATATAGGGTCGTACATTGTCACACTAATTGTGGATTGGTTTAGTGATTTTTGTTCTGTAGCTTCGACCTGAGAGTCCTGGAATTGGGATTTGGGGTTTTGTGTTTTACCTCTCCGCTCAATGGTATCAATCAATCTTTCAACTGATCCCATGGTAGTGCTTCTTTAAGTTGTAGGGAATGCTTGGGCTGCTGCGCATTTAATTTAATTTTAAACAGAACTTTTTGAGGTATTTGGTATTGTGTTTTCTGAAATATGCTTTGAGCCCTTTTTTGAGCTGGTGATCACGACGAATAATATTATATAAGGTTAAACTATAGCCACAGTTTTCCGCAGCTTGTGCTACGGTAGCTTTTAAGCTTCCCGAGATCTCATTGTTTTTAGATCTTCACATCTTAATGGGTACAAGAGTGAGCGTTTTATAGTACCCGAGATTCGAGCGATTTTGATTAGTCATTTTAATTTTTGGTCGTAAGAATGGGCGTGGCTTGATAATGACATAGTGAAAGAAATAAGAAATTAATCAAAAAGTAATAAGAATAAAAATACTTAAAATAAACAATTTAAATATATAATATTATAAAGAAATATATTTTAACATTGTGAGGTAACTTTCACGCGGCCCCGCCGCTCTTAGATATAGAGACATTTAGGTAAGAGTAGTCCGTAAGCTAGAATTTAGGTTTAAGGAATAGTTAAGACCCACGGATGGCACTCAGATTTAAGTTAGTTTAGACCACGGAGGGCAATTAGACTTACGTTAGTTAAGACCCACAAAGGGCACTTGTACATACATACATATCGTTAGGCTTCACCGCCAGACAACATCGATCCCGCAACACCACGCCCCTAACATCACCCGCAACATCACGTCCGCAACATCACCACGCCTTGGGTACATCGCGCTCACAGCGCAATCACAACCGGCAGAGCCAACATTACACCGACAGAGCCAACATCACACCGGCAGAGCCAACCAACGCGCACGAACACACCACGTGACGCCGGCGCAGTTAAGCTAGAGAGAAGAGGACGACGACAGCTCGGACGAAGACAGCGAAAGGGCCGTTGCCGCGGTCGGCAGCAGAGAAGGGCCTCGAGCAGCTTCCGCTGCCCGCCGATTGGGGAGTCGGTTATGTGAGTTGAACGAAACCCGGGTGACGGGATCGGCAGCCTATATCCTTCCTCATAGTTTGGGCACCGGCACCCGGCTGACGGGACCGGACAACCGATTGCCGGGTGACGGGATCGGCCGCCCGCGAAAACCCCGACTCCCCCCTCGAAAAACCCACCTCACACCCAAATCTCGCATCCCTTTTCCTGCCAGTCTCAGTATTTACAAATATTTCTGTAGGGGACCCTGGGCTGACTGAAGTTTATATCCAGGCCTGTGATTAGCATCGTTACAGATGGCGCCCGAACAGGGACCAGGCAGGGCTAGGCAGGATAATTCCAACCTTCATGGCGTAAAGAACAATCAGGGAGATTTGGGTCAAAATTCGAGGTTGGGTACGGAAGGCTAGGGGAGTAAGCACGTTTTGCAGCGGGGCGAAACAGAGCAAGAAAGAGAGAGATGGAGGGAAGCGTAGCCACGTGGAGTTAACGGCAAGCAAGTATAGTCACACGTAGAAACACAATACGCACGCGCACACGAGCACGTGAACACGTTAAGAAAAAACAAGAGCAAACGCTATATTCGAGTGCCGCGACTATAAGATACCCGTTACTGTTTTACACAATTTTAAAATATTCATTTTGCTAGTGGAAATTACCCAAGCGCCACCTATTGGCGGAGAAAGCATGTCGAGTAACTGATAGTGCCGTCACTGCCCATGTGAGGCCTTATAACCTAAATTTCTTTATAAGTAGCGAAATAATATTCCGATTTGAAAAATCTTTGGTAAATCGATAGATAGAAACAGAAATAAGTTATAAAACGACAAACGAAGGCATACATAATATCATTATAGACGCCACAGTGTTCCGCGGTTTGTAGGCGATTGAGTGGGTGTCGCCGGATAAACTCTAGTGGGAAGTTGCAGTGGCATCCCTTAAATACGTATTCTTAAGCCTAACTTTCTAGCTCTTTTAGTTCCCGAGATTTTTGCTTTATTGGTTTTTCGGGTTTTGTGGGCGTTAGGGAGGGCATGGCTGGATAGGAAAAAGTTAATTTGCATTTGGAGCATTATAAAAATCTACATTTTTAATCCGAACTTTCTATCACTTATAGTTACCGAGATATCAGGTTTTCTTGAAAATGCGAAAACCGTCTTGAGAGCTTGGTGGGCGTATGGATGGGTGTGGCCAGATAATAGTACAACTAAAAGATGCGGTGGCATCCAAAGTTTATAAATACTGAATTTCAACTTTCTAGCTCTAACAGTTCCCGAGATTTTAGCGATTTTAGTTTTTTTGCGATTTATGGGCGTTAGAGTGGGCGTGGCAGGATGCTGAAATAAACTTATAGAATAAACAAGAATCTTCATGCTTAATCTCAATTTTGTATCTACTATAGTTCCTGAGATCTCAGCGTTCATACGGACGGACATACGGTCATGGCTTAATGGAGTTCGCTATTGATCCTGATCAAGAATATATATATTTTATAGGGTCTAAAACGGTTCCTTCTACCTGTTACATGCTTTTCAACAAATCTTGTATACCCTTTTACTCTACCGGTAACGGGTATAAACACAGAACAAAGGGGAGAGAGGGATCCGCAGGACCTAAGTCACGTCGACGCCGTAGCCGGCAACCACGCCATCAGATATCTAGTTCCCCTATCCCTTTTGCACAACTGGTTTCTTACCGAGGAGGATGCCCAACGCCGGCAGAACCGGAGATATATAAGTCGCTATCGACACACAATCGGGAGCAGTCAACCAACGGAGTCCTGAGGGACAACATCGACCACCAACCTCAAGCAACAAGGACACTCCTACTAGCCAGGACTAGCAAGGATACACATCCTTCAAGGAAAACCAACGCATCGCCGCTCCTGCACCCTAGCCAGGACACACATCAACAACTACATGGTAGTCTCCTGGATATCCTACAGGAAGAAGCACGAGCTCGAGGCTATTCTTCTCGAGCTCGGCCTCGAACAAAACGGTACGGTCGACGAGCAGCGGGCCGGACTGTACGCATTCGCCAGGCAAACAGAACACTCCGAAGATACCCTGATCCGGCTCGGGGAGATGGAACGCAAGTATGGAAACGCCCCCTCCGGAAGCTCCAAGCCACCATCGCCGCTACCCCCTCCCACGAAAAGGGACCAAGCAGTAGCCACAGTACGCACCGGTGCGCCCCAGTACGTTGCCGGCATTTGTTCGATGTTGATTGATAAAGTGCCCAAATGGGGACTGACCTTCGACGGCACCTCGGACCGGCTCAGTTTCATAGAACACATCGAAGAACGGGCGGATACCCACCGGATTAACCGTGAGTATCCGTCGCACGCTATCATAGTCCTCCTGACTGGCCGGGCGGAGAATTGGTTCCGAATCAGTGATCTGCAGGGACGGACCTGGACCGAAGTTCGTCGGGAATTCTTGGACTTCTTCCTACCGCCCCGGTACTACCAACGCCTCGACGACGAGATCCGTTCACACTTTCAGAAAGTGAATCAGCCGTTCAAGGAGTACCTGGTAGACCCCCGCCTTCAGATGCACAGCGCTGGATACTCACCGGAGCAGGAATTGGAACGGGTCTATGAGAACATGCTGCCTGAATACCAGATGTTCACCCGACGCCAGGATTTCAAAACGCTGACTGAACTCACACACTTGGTGGTCAACTTCGAAGTTGCCCGCAGCCGCGAAGGCTGAAACGTCCATGGATACCCATCGGCGAGCACAGACGCCGAGTATCGACCCCAGCACTGCCTGCTGAAACTGCGGCCGGGCCGGCGATTACGCCATGGAAAGCCGACACCCGCGAGTCATGTTATTTTGGGACTGCGGCCGCCAGGGCATACGCACTATTGCGTGCTGCAGGAACCAGACGCCGGGAAACGGGCAAGGGCCTCGGGTATCAGGGAGTCAGACGGGGAACCCACCGAACTCCCGCAGCCACTAACCTACTCCATCCAGCAGGACCGAAACCGTATCCGTGCACGGGTCACTGTCGAGGGGCGCCCTCTCACCGTTACCTTGGATACGGGAGCCTCGCATAGCTTCATAAGCGAACGCCTGGCAAAGGAACTCGACGGGGGAAGGAATCGCCGCGCTGTGCGGACCAAAGTAAAGCTAGCCGACGAAACCGGTCGGGAGCTCACAAAGACCCTGCGAACCACGATACAGCTGGGCGAAGCTCGGGTCAGCTCTCATCACGGCGGACGTGCTGGACGACCTTCTGCTCGGCATGGACTTCCTGTGCTACGGCGGAGCCACACTGCAATGTGGGGGCCTAACCCTAAATCTCCAGCCACATACTTCGGCTCGACACACGAGAACCAGCTCGCGGACACCGACACGAGCGGAACAAACACGCACGCCGCCGCAACACGCGTCGGCCGCCGCACAGGCGCATCCATCGCCCACCTCACAGGCGCATCCACAGGCCGCCTCACAGGCGCATCCATCGGTCGCCTCACAGACGCATCCACCAGCCGCCGCACAGGCGCATCCATCACCCGCCTCATAGGCGCATCCATTGGTCACCTCACAGACGCATCCACAAGCCGCCTCACAGGCGCATCCACAAGCCGCCTCATAGACGCATCCATCGGTCACCTCACGGATGCATCCAAAAGCCGCCTCACAGGCGCATCCATTGGTCACCTCACAGACGCATCCACAAGCCGCCTTATAGACGCATCCATCGGTCACCTCACAGGCGCATCCGCAAGCCGCCCCACGAAAACATCGCAGGGCTGCACATACGCGTCCCTGTCCACGCAAACACACGCACGGCTCCAAGCTGGGCTGGAGCACTGCCCCCTCCCGACGCATCAGAAGTCCAACACAACCCATTTCGCCAACTGGTAAGGAGAGTCCGTTTTAGCTTTCGCTAACGCCGAGTAAGACGCCGAGGAGGAACAGAGACACAGCAACCAAGAGGAAAACTATCCAGAGCCCTGAATAGGGAAGTTCTTGGAGCGAGAGCTGTCCCATTTCGAAACCATCGCCGACGTCTCCCACATCGCCGAGCACACGATCGTGATGCGCAGCGATCGCCCCATCAAACAACGCTATCACCCACGAAACCTCACGATGAGCGCCATCATCGACCAACAGATCGACGAGCTCCTCCGGGATGGTCGTAAAGAGCCCTCCAAGAGCCTCCGTAGCGCGCCGATAGTCATCGCGGCAAAGAAGAACGGGGAGGAAACACATCCTGGAACGGCTACGGAAGGCACGCTACATATCAACGTTGGACCTGAAAAACGGGTACTGGCAGATCCCAGAAGCTCCCGCCAGTCGCGAGTGCACGGCATTCACAGTCCCGGGCCGCGGGCTATTTTACTGGAATGTGATGCCCTTCGGGCTACACTCGCCTGCTGCCACCTTCCAACGGGTAGTGGATACCGTCATCGGCCCGGACATGGAACCACACGCCTTCGCCTACCTGGACGACATCATCGTCGTCGGGTCCCCACTCTCTGAGCACATGCGGAACTTACGCGAGTCTTCCGACGGCTCCGAGAAGCTAACCTCCGGCTCAATCGGGACAAATTTCAGTTTTTCCAGCGGAGCAAAAAAATTGACCCCTCCCACGAACGTGAAGGAGCTTCGCCGATGTCTAGGTATAGCGTCGTGGTACCGCCGCGAAATGGGAATGGACGGAGAAGCAGGAGCAGGTTTTCCAGCGTCTGAAGGATCTGCTCACCGAGGCCCCGGTGTTTGCGTGCCCGGATTTTGAGGAGAAATTCGTACTCCAGACGGACGCAAGTGACTATGGGGTTGGGGCCGTACTCACCCAGACCATAGATCAACAGGATCGCGTAATCGCTTACGCCAGCCACCGGCTAAATACCGCTGAACGCAATTACTCCGTGACGGCAAAGGAATGCTTTGCGATAGTGTGGGCCATCCGCAAGATGCGCTGCTACCTCGAGGGGTACCGTTTCTAGGTAGTCACCGACCACCACTCCACCACTCGCTAAAGTGATTGAACTCCATCGACATCCCCACGTTCCAATACGACGACCTACCGACGCGGAGTCCAGAACCTGGCCGCGGACGCGCTGTCGCGCCAGCCTATGGCAAGATTACAACAGGCATAAGTACAAGACAGCGACTGTAAGTGGATCACGAAAATGTTACGCAGGATCCAGCAGGAGCCGGCCACGTATCCGGATTTCCGAGAGGAGAACCGACAACTCTACCGGCGCATCGGACTGCGCCCAGAGGACGAGGAATATACCCCTCTAGAAGCTATGCGTGGGTACCCGCGACCGCGCAAGAGTGCTGACGGAATGCCACGACCACCCCACCGCTGGACATCTGGGCGTGCGGTAAACAAGCACGCTAGTGGCCCAGAGGTACTACTGGCCCGGACTATTCCGAGAGGTAACTAAATTCGTGCCAAGGTACGTTCAAGGTAAGCCAGAAAGAGAAGATGTTCACGCGCCAGGTCGACGAACCTTTCCACGTGTTATGCACGGACTTCGTGGGACCACTTCCGCGTTACAAGCAAGGGAACACTGTCCTACTGGTGTTCCTCGACGCGTTCACCAAGTGGGTGGTACTTGTCCCCCTACGAAGAGAAACCGTGCCGTACCTCGAACGGGCATTTTGAGAACGAATTCTGAGCCGTTTCGGAGTTCCTCGGACTTTGGCCTGCGACAACGGGACACAGTTCACCAGCCGAGACTTCCGGACATTTTGCAAGTCGCTGGGAATGGAATTGAAGCATACTGCACCTTACACGTCCCCCCAAAACCCTACGCATAGGGCGAACAGAACGGTTAAAACAATGATTGCACAGTACTTGGGATCAGCTTTTCCCGGAGATCTCACTCGCCGTGAACAGCAGTGTGTCGGACACCACGGGCTTCAGCCCCGCCTTCCTGGTCCAAGGCCTGAAGCCACGGCTACCAAACGCGCTCTACGACGAAGTCACCCCGGGACGAGGAACATCACTGATTTCCCCTGCGGAACGGAGTGAGCAGCTACACAACATATTCAAAGTTGCCCGCGACAATGCCAAGCGTGGTATGGCCGAGCAGGGCAGGCACTACAACCTACGAAGACGTGAGTGGAAACCACCACTAGGCTCCCTGGTTCTCGCCCGCCGCCATGTACTGCCCAACGCAGCCGAGGGTTTCGCGGCCAAACTGGCCGAAAGATACGAGGGGCCGTTCCGAATGGTTTAAGTTCCTCTCCCCTAACATAGTCAGGCTGCAAGACGCCGGAAGCCGCCGTCGCCGCACGGCCAGCATAAACAACTTCAAGCCCTACCATTAGGGCGACGAGGATGACGACGACGACGACACGCCGGGGACACCAGAACCATCCGCATCCGCACAGACCAGTAATCCAGAGCTGCAGGGCATTTAGGAGGACAGGAGCTTAGAATACGCACCACATCTAGGCAGGCGACGAACCTGTGGTACGCTATAAACCGCTTCCCACCTCCTCAGGTCCCCATACAACGAAACACGGGAACCCATCACGGAGCTGCCAGATCTGCGAAAATACTTCCCCACGACAACAACCACCGCAGGACGTCACAGCAACGGGCTATCGATAAGTACAGCGCCAACCGAGCGATCGTGTTCATCTCAACAAAACTGTAAAGAAAACTAAGTCTACAACAATGCCAGGACACCACCGCGAGCGACACCGCCACCACAGAGAGATACAACGTCACCACCACCGGCACGACCGGCAAGTCGTCCGACACCACCTGGAAGACGAAGACGCCCCCGCTCCAACCGGGACAATGTCCGACCGCGAGGAGCCACACTGGGCACACATGGACACCACGGGCGCAGGACGCGACCCGGTCCCACGACCACGATCGGCCAACAGTGAGACACCATCTCCAACCATCAGTCCCGCGTGGTGCGGGGGACTCACGTTGGAAGAAATAATGGCCTCTCTCTTCGAGGCAGAAGGAGAGGGAGAGCTGGACGATTTCCAAATAGAGATCGAGTCATTTCCACAGCATCCGCGGGAAGCCACTACGCCGAATCCCACAGGACCGCTGGGCGCGGTATACGAGGACATCTCCGACACGGAAGTCCTAGAACTTAGCTCGGGTGACGAAAAACAACGGGATACGACAGCGATCCTATACAAGGTCATACGAAAACATACACTACAGTTTTCCGTGGTTTGTGGGCGTTCGAGTATGCGTGGCCGGTGACCAGTGGCATCTTCTTAATACGTATTCTTAAGTACAACTTTCTACCTCCTCTAGTTCCCGAGAGTGGGCGTGGCTTGATCGGAAAAAAACAATTCACATAAGGGACATCATTAAAACCTATATGCTTAATCCGAACTTTCTATCACTTATAGTTACCAAAATATCAGCTTTTTTAAAAAATGCGAAAATTGCACTTGGTGGGCGTATGGGTGGGCTTGGCCGGATGATGGTACCACCATGAGATGCGCTGGCATCCCAAGACTATGTATACTGAATTTTAATTTTTTAGCTTTTATAGTTTCTGAGATTTAAGCGATTTTAGTTTTTCGTGATTTGTGGGCGTAAGAGTGCGCGTGGCTGGATGCTGAAATAAACTTGCGCCGTCCAGGGACCTCAAGAATCTTCATGCCTAATCTCAACTTTGTATCTGTTTTAGTTCCAGAGATCTCAGTGTTCATACGGACGAACGGACGGACGGACAGACGGACATGGCTCAATTGACTTCGCTATTGATCCTGATCACTTTATAGGGTCGGAAACGCTTCATTCTATCTGTTACATACTTTTCAACGAATCTAGTACACCCTTTTACTCTACGAGTAACTGGTAACTGGGACTCGGCCAGGATAGGGTCAGTAACGTTTCCTTCTACCTGTTACATATTTTTCAACATATCTAATATACCCTTTTACTCTACGAGTAACGGCTATAAATATGCTTGATCGTTGGGCACGTATCTGAGAGAGTGCGTTACTCTCACTACTTTTTTGGTTTTTATTATTTTACAATGTTTATTTCACTTACTTGCTGGTTTAAACATACAATTTTTTGTTTTAAAGTATCGTCTTTTAGGTGGATAGGTTTTAGAATCAAATCGAAGCTATTATGCACAGCTAAACATTGATAATTTTGGATAAAAGGACACAGCAAATAAAGACAAGTTTATTTTGGGGAATACAACTAATTTGCCACAAACTAAAGGAAAGGTTTCATTTTCCAAAGAATAAGTTCTTTATTACAATAGGCAGAACAGATAGTTTGGCAACGGACCTCTTGACCAAGCCGGCTGCGCTACGAACCATAGCTACTCTTATGTTGTCATCCTTTCCTGGTATGCAGTTCCGGTCCTTTAAGGGCTGGCAAGTTTTTATCCTTTATAAACTGCTACAATAGTCTACTCCATAAAAATAAAATTTGGCTTTCCACAATCCGCCAAGGTGTGGTGAACGGAGAGGTATGAATCTCACTCCTTGAGTGCGTCGATCTCACTAGCAAAATGGCAAAGTGGATTCCATTTACTAGAGTACGCTTGAAAGACGGTTTTCGAAATGGTCAACTTGATCAAGCAATTGAATGTGAATAAATCATTTCTCCAGCTCCTCAGCAGTGCTTCAGCCTTAAAATGAACCCACTTAAGATACTTTTCTGGAATGTTAATGGTATCTCAGATAAAGCCAGTGAAATTAAGCTCTTCGCACACAACGACAGCTTTGATATCCTACGCTTAAGTGAGATAAGGCTTATTCAAGGGGAAGCTGTCAAAATATATGGCTATTCTTTCTATCCAGCATATAAAGCAGGACGGCACATTCACGGCAACGAAGGCGCGGCGGTATTGGTGAGGCGCTCTCTTACTCATTTTCCACAAAGTATTATTGAA